GAGCACAGGAGCCGAGAGTAAAAGAGAAAATATGGCAGTTAGCCGCCAGAGTTAATGAGCTATTGGTTGGAGCAACCTATAAAATTCCCGTCGGTCTGCAGCCGGCGAGGCTTGGAGAATAGCATGCCAGACTCAGCGTCATGGGAAATCTGTTTGTCTATGCTCGAGATCGGCGCTTGACTTTCTCACTAAAATTCTGGCAGTGTTACATCGGCTAGCCAACCCAAAATTGTCAATTCAATGGTCGAAACTGATAAAGCCAGATTATGGATGGCTATTATTCTTTACTTATAGTTACCTTCACATCATCACCGACTTTAGCCACAAAAACCGATGGCAATACAATGCCTCTTTAGCGGTGTTGCCACAACGTCTTAAGGCTCTATTAAGGAGTTACCATTCATAAATCGGTAATCTGGCTTCATGGGATGAAGATGTAAGCCGTTTTAAGAAAATTTCGCATAAATCTTTAGACAAAAGTTTGTGTGTACATTTAAAATCAGCTGTGATTACTTATTCTCGGTGATTGTAGAGTACCGATTTTTACAACAGTGGTGCTGATAATAAAGACACAATCGAGCATATTAGTATGTTTCTTGGATGAATGGGTGAAGGTAGTACAATTAATGGAATACATGAGAATTTGTATTTTTTGTTATCTTTTGTCGGTACTACACTACTACAGCAGACATATCACGGTCAGCTCGGAACCCCCCATTGCAGCTGGTTTTTGGCCTCGACAGTAGACACTCGACGGTGATTGTCGAAGTCATCACAGTCGATTCAGGACCGACTGCAACGGCTCCTCAACACCACCACATTGGTCAATCATCGGACTGTAATCGTGAAAATCGCCGTCGCCTTGCACCATGACCTGACTGTGTTCAGTGCACGTTCATCGTCGCTTTGACGTCCGGCATGTCTGTGTCGCTTGGTGTATGAACTGTCCTTTATACACATGAGAGTTCTCGATGATTGTAGAGTACCGACTTTTACAATAGTGGTGAAGATAATAAAGACACAATCGAGCAAATTAGTATGTTTCTTGCATGATTGGGTGAAGGTACTACAATGGAACACATGAGAATTCATATTTTTCATTATCTTTTACCAGTAATGCTTTTTTATAGTTTTCTTCTTTACAACCTTGCTCTGTTTGTTCCTGGGCATCACTGGGGCGACGGTGGCTCGCGCATAGTTGGTCACCACCCAGTCCAGAGCAGTTTTGCCAATGACCAGGAGCCACTATGTCGAGGGCAGCCTGCCCCTGTCCGCCGCTGCTAGGGTGAGGTCAGACACTAACGGGTCAAGGGCAGCTTGCCCATGTCTGACCGCAACCGGGAATAGGACGGCGAGTTCGGCATGCATGCTGAGGAGACAATGTGAGAGACGAGTTGGTCCGGATATTTTTTAGGGATGGGAATGTCCCGAATCTAGAGGGAATCACGTGTCCCTGAACCAAACACTGGGACCACGCTCATATGAACCACCCCCAACCAGATAAATAAAAGGCACGTAACATGTGCGATACTATTGGAGAATAATTGGAGGAATAACTCAACTCACTTCCACAAATCTAGAAATCTTATGTGGGTTTATATAGAGAGTACAAGGGAATACAAAGAGATGGGATATAAAGAGACTACAACTCTACAACTCTTAATATGGTAACACCCCGGCGCAGTTGGGCGTCGACACTAATCCAAAGTGGAGACATTCAAACTGGAGCGAAATTATGTAAATATGGAGGTAGGAAGACCCTTGGTGAACACATACGCATATTGAGATGTAGAGGGCAAATGAAGAACGCGAATTTCTCCTGTAGCAACTTTGTCCCTTACGAAATGAAGATTGATCTCAACATGTTTAGTGCGCTGATGTTGCACCGGATTGGTTGAGAGATAAACTGCACTAACATTATCACAAAAAACCACAAAGGAACGCCGGGTACAGAAATGAAGCTCCTAAAGTAATTGGCGGAGCCATGTATTTCTGCCATGGCATTAGCGACAGCTCTATACTCGGTCTCTGCACTGGAGCGAGACACGGTGTGCTGGCACTTTGAAGACCAGGAGACCAAATTATCGCCCAAAAAGACAGCATAACCCGAGGTAGAACGGCGAGTATCCAGACAACTTGCCCAGTCAGCATCTGAATATGCCACAAGGTCACAAGTGGAGGAGCGAAGTAACTACAAGCCATAGTCCAAGGTGCCCTTGATATAGCGGAGAACACGCTTAATCAAGGCAAGATGTGGCTCACAAGGATCATGCATATAGAGACAAATCTGTTGCACAGCATAGGAGATGTCGGGGCGAGTAAAAGTGAGGTACTGTAATGCACCAGCGAGAGCCCAGTAATAAGTGGCGTTGGCAACAGGAGGTCCATCAGCGGAGAGCTTGGCATTAGTGTCAATCGGGGTGGAACAAGGTTTGCATCCGGTCATGCCAGCACGTTCCAAGAGTTCAAGGATATAGTGCCACTAGGAGAGAAACATACCTGTGGAACTCCTGGAGACAGTCATCCCAAGAAAATGATACAAAAGCCCGAGATCCTTCATGGAGAATTCCGCTGTAAGAGAAGCCACAATGCTACGTAGGAGATCTCTAGAAGAGGTAGTCAATATAATATTGTCAACATAAAAAAGCAAGTATGCCATGTCGGAACCACGCCGAAGAATAAAGAGAGAGGTATCCGACTTTGCTTCCAAAAATCCAATAGAGCGTATATATAAAGGAAGCAAACCTGCTGTACCAAGCTCGGGGTGCCTGTTTTAAATCATAGAGTGACTTATTAAGGCGGCACACATGGTCAGGCTTGGAAGAATCAATGAACCCAGATGGTTGTGCACAATAAACTGTTTCTTCCAAAGTGCCGTGAAGAAAAGCATTCTTGACATCTAACTGGTGGACGGCCTAGTTGTGAGAGACTGCTAGAGAAAGAACTGTGCGGATAGTGGTGGGCTTCACAACAGGACTGAATGTCTCGCCAAAATCAATGCCAGGACGCTGTGTAAAGCCTCGAAGTACCCAATGAGCTTTGTAACGGTCAAGTGTGCCATCCGGATGCAATTTGTGCTTATAGACCCACTTGCCTGTAACAATATTAGTGCCAGGAGGAGGAGGAACGAGATCCCATGTATGATTTGCTTGGAGGGCTGTGAATTCCTCTTGTATAGCATCACGCCGGTTTGATCGGCCAAAGCACCACGGTAGGCCTTCGGAATAGGAGACAAAATAGTGGCCTGCAAATTCATAAGTGTCCTGGGCTGTCGAAAACCTTGCTCGCCTCTGAGTAACCATGACATGATCATTTGCAACAGGTGTTATTCGAATGGCACCCTGTGGAAGAGAGCCAGCCGCAGGCACAGCACCAGGCGAGGGTACAACGCCACCACGAGCGCTGGCGGCGCTGGATGCCATTGCTGGGGGCGACCCAGAGGCCGCTATTGAGGGCGACCGAGGTCTAGCACCGGCCGAAGAACCTCCTCCAGCACCCTCTAAAGATCCAGCAGGGTGGCCCAAGTTCCCGCTAGCAACAACCCGAGAGGCATCGGGTGCAGCGGGAGGTAATCCAGAGCCGGCCACACCAGGTCCTGGGACTCCAGTACCTGCAACAATGGGTGAAGGAACAGGGCTAGACACATAGTCAAACTCCGACAGGAAGTCAAGGTTAGATGAAGGTAGAGGAGCAGGAAGCTCGGCAAATATTAGAGAATAACTGGAGGAATAACTCAACTCACATTCCACTAATCTCATGTGGGTTCATATAGAGAGCAAAGTTTTAAATCTCCGGCTATAGATACCGCTATAGCCGGAGATCGCCGCTATACAAGGCTGCCGCTAGGATAGTTGACTTTTAGCGCTAAAGAATGAGAGGCGCTAATAGCCGGATATAGCCCGCGAAATCCGCTAAATAAGGTATGATTTAGCACCGCTAACGTCGTCGCACCTCACTGTTCTCTGCCTGTCATCTGTCGAAGCAAAACCAGGAGCTAGCGGGGACCTTCCCGCTGTTCGCCGTGGCTGCCGGAACTCCATCCCCAGGGCGGCAGGGCCGCACTAGGTCCAGAGCTGCAGCAACAACCACTCTGCTTGATGTCGGCTTCGAGGCACGCTGAAGCACCAGCAAAGCGGCCTGATACTAGCAGTCTAGCACCCTGCCTCTAAGCCGAGGCCATGCATCCGCCGGCCACCGCCTTGCCTCCGCTCGTATGGACTCCATCCTGGCAAGAAATTGGTCACCAAGATGCACTGCTGTGGGACGGGACCAAGGAATGGCATCCGACGGTGCGTTCAATTTGGAGAAGTTGGGGGAGGGCAGAGGTCTCCGGAAGCTGGGAACTGGTGGCCTGGTGCCTGGATAGGAATGAGCGGCCATGGGTTGCGAGCAGCTGACCGGATAAAGATTCACTTGTTTCACAGGAGGGGATAAGGTAGTATTTTTTATATGAAATACAATTGCGAAAATGAAAAAAAAAGTAGGGCACCGCCGTAGCGGCGATATAGCGGGCGATTAGCGGCTATAGCTGTTTGGTAACGGTGCCGCTAAACCCTTTAGCCGGCGATTTAAAACATTGATAGAGAGTACAAGGGAATGCAAAGAGATGGGAAATAAAGAGACTACAACTCTGCAACTCTTAATATGCTAACAGATACAACTCCACTGCAATTGTATTTGTATCTCACTGCTGCAATCTAAACAGCAATACTGAACTCTTTTAAAAAAGAATAGAAAGAATAAGTAAAACTTCTCTAATTTTGACATTTGCAACATCAAATTCCACCCTGAACAACTATAGTCACATTTGCAATGTCTTTATAGTGTTTATTGTACTTTTTATAAATTTGGTCAAACATAAAAAAATAACTTAAAACAAAAACAATGCACCTTACATATATTTTGTAATGGATAGAATAGTATCGACCTCGTGCACCAGTTGTGATTAAACCGATCATCCATACAATTAATCTTGAGCAGGTAAGTCTTTGCTATCGTCGCTAAGAAAGGGATGGTCTGTATAGCCAACGACAGGGTCTTTGTATGTAAAAGGTGGAGCGATCATACTTGTTCAGGGGCGCATCTAACTCAAACCTCTTAGCTAGGTCCGGATTGGACAAGATGTGCCTTCCATATGCGACGAGGTCCGCATAGCCCTCGGCAATCACCTTGTTTCCTTCCTCCCTGTCATAACCACCAACGACGATGAAGGTGCCATTGAACACCGTCTTGAATGGTAGGAGTCTATGCGGAATCTGCCTACGGTCATCGACGATGGACATCCGAGGCTCTACCATGTGGCAATAGAGAAACCCCTCATGCTTGTTGAGCTATCGCACCATGTAGTCGCCGAGTGCCGAGGGGTCGGAATCTGCACAATCCATGTAATCCGCGAAAGGGGAAAGCCTAATGCCAACCCGATTCGCGCCGACTTCATGGACCAGAGCGTCAATGATCTCAACCACGAAGCGACACCGGTTCTCCACGCTGCCACCATACTCGTCGGTGCGGTCGTTGGCGCCATCCTTCATGAACTGCTCCAGGAGGAATCCATGTGCTCCATGGATCTCCACGCCGTCGAACCCGGCCTCAATCGCATTCCGTGCGGCACGTCTGAAGTCATCGGCGATCCCTGGGATCTCGTCGGTCCGCAGCCGGCGTGGCTTCGAGAACACCGTGCCGGACTCAGCGTCAGGGGGGAGCTGCGTGTCCGTGCTCGAGATCGGCGCTTGACCGTCTGGCTGAAAATCTGCCAGTGGTTCACAAAGAGATTAGCAACGGGATCACTCGAACGAGCTGATACTAAACTTGCGCTCACGAGTCACGTACTGTTGGCAAAAGAAGAGCGCGCCCTTGCTGTGGACGGCGTCCACAATGGGCTTCCACGCCGCGACCTGCTCCTGCGTCCAGACGCCAGGGGACCCCGGGAGCCCTACGCGGTGTCAGACACACTCGTGCCCTCGATGATGAGCTGGCCGCCCCTGGTGTTATGACCGACAGGTGGACCCGCGATGCAGTGACTCCCTGTGATTGTGGCGTGGCCGTCAACGACGGTTGGTGATGAGCTGTTGATGATTACTTGACAGCTACGGCTGCTGGCTATATAAGCCGCCGGGTGTTAGGAGAGAAAGGGGAGAAAACAGTAACCGCTTAGCTGTTAGATTCATAGAAATAGCACTATATTCTTCGGCGGTCATCCGCTCTTGTATACAAACACTGTTACAGTTTGCAATAAAGCTCACCGATTCACCCCAATTCTTCCTCCCACTCATCCAGGTCGTTACAATTGGTATTCAGAGCCTGTCGATTTAAGGGAATTTTTTTTCTCTCAATCGATCCATTCCGTTCTGGCGCCGAAGCGGAAACCCACCAAAATCCAGATCGAGATGGCGGCTTCGATTGAGGACCTCAAGATAGCCATGGATTCCATGGCGCAGCAACTCGTCGGGGTCTAGGATATGGCGAAGCAGTTCGCGGGGTTCCAGCAGGTCATGGTGACTATGCTCGACAAGCTCAACGACTTGGAGGCGTGGCGGACGATTGCGGAGACGAACATGGGGTCGATGATTCAGCAGTCCAAGGATACCTCAACCCGGGTGCAACAGTTGGAGGCGCGTCCCCCCCCACCGCCTCCGCCTCCACCACCGCCCATGTCGACGCAGCTTCCTCAACCTCCACCTATCCTGATGCCGCGCCCACCTCCACTCCTGCAGTTGCCGATGTCTCAGGTGCCCAACCCACTCACGGCTCCGCCGCTGCATCACGCAGCAGGGTGGTTCGATCTGAACGTGGCCCCGACATCGGCTTCGACATCACAATCACCCAATGGGCACGACCAGCGACACGAGCACCGGGTTGTTGGTGGCGGGGCCCCAAGCGCCTTGCCGCCGCACCTGGTCACGGGTATGCCTACCGACCTCAACCCTCACGCCTTTCCATTGCCTGAATTCGAGCACTTGCAGTCGATTCGATCCCCTCCGGTGCCCAAATTCGATTTCCCCAAATTCGATGGGGAGAACCCGTGACTTTGGCGTGATCATTGTGTTCTCTTTTTCGAGGTCTATGGAGTTCACCCGGCGATGAGGACGAGATTTGCCGCTCTCAATTTCACTGGTTCGGCTACGACATGGCTGCAGACGATGGAACGCCATGGTCGGATCATAGATTGGGATCATCTCTGTGAACTGGTGTTTGCCAAATACGACAAGGATCAGTACCAGCGTCAGTTAAAGGCATTGGAAACTCTGAGGCAAACCGGATCGGTTGCCGAATATCAGGCTCAGTTTGAGAAGCTAGCACATGGCATTCTGTTGTACAACCAATCCTATGATCATGTGTATTTCATCACAAGATTTCTCTCAGGCCTCAAGGAGGGGATCAGAGCGTCGATTGCATTGCACCGACCACGTGATGTGGATATGGCGAGTGCCTTGGCACTATTGCAAGAGCAGGAGCTGAATGCTGCTAGGAGCAAACCCTTTTGGCGGCCTTTCCCTAAAGGGGCTGACAAGGTGCTTGACAAGGTGGGGATGGGTGGTATGGAAAGGCCAGCAGTGAAAGTTCAGAAATCGGACGCTGATGATAAGCTGGCTTCGCTCAAGAAATATCGGCGCAAGAACGGCCTCTGTTTCAAATGCGGAGGTAAATGGGGTCCTACTCATTCTTGTCCTGAGCATGTTCCACTACATGTGTTGGAAGAGTTGTGGGATGCCTTGGATTTGGCTGCATCTAACAAATCTATAGATATTCAGTCCGAAGACTTAACAGCTGAAGATTCTGTATGTGCATTACAGTGGCCACAGTCTGATAGGTCTGTTAAGAAAAATACTCTAAAATTGCTTGCTCGTATTGGAAAGCATCAAGTCCTAGTATTAGTTGATTCGGGAAGTGTGGGCACTTTTGTCAGTGACAAGTTGGCCAGCACATTGGGCTTACCCATTGAACTTTGTCAGCCAGCCACCTTCAAAGCTGCTGATGGGGGGCAAATGCAATTTTCTAAAAGAGTGCCAGCCATGCAGTGGTGTGTTCAGGGCCACAAGTTCAAATCAGATGCTAGAGTATTGAACCTGTAGTGTTATGATATGATCCTTGGTGAGGACTGGTTGGAGGCGGTCAGTCCTATCTGGGTTGATTACAAGACAAAGCATATGAGGGTGACATTGAATGGGAAGAGAGTAGCACTGTGTGGTATTCTGGATAAGGTGGACATGTGTCCAACCATTGGACCCAAGAAGCTCCTTAGTCTGATCCAGTATGGGGGTGTGACCTGCTGCCTGCAAATGTGCTCTAAACTGCTGGAATCTCTATTGTCGGACAACTAACGGTCTCTTAGCTCCATTCAGGCTACTGAAACTGCACAAGTGCCACAACAGATTCAGCAGCTATTACAACAATATGCTCAGTTATTCAGTACACCATCTCAGCTACCTCCTTCATGAGCAGCTGATCACAAGATCAAGCTCTTACCTGAGGCATAGCCGGTCAAGATTAGGCCATATCATTACTCTCCGATTCAAAAGAATGAGATTGAGGCTCAGGTTCAGCAGATGCTGCAAACTGGTGTTGTCAGGCCAAGCACTAGTGACTTTGCCTCCCCAGTATTGTTGGTACGCAAGAAAGACGGGTCATGGAGATTTTGTGTCGACTACCGTCACCTCAATGCTATAACCATGAAGCACAAGCACCCTATGCCAGTTGTTGATGAATTGTTGGATGAACTAAGTGGGGCTCGATGGTTTACAAAGCTGGATTTCAGTGCAGGTTATCATCAGATTAGAATGGCAATAGGAGATGAGTACAAGACCGCTTTTAGAACACATCAAGGCCTCTATGAGTTTCTAGTTATGCCGTTTGGACTGACAAACGCACCGGCAACATTTTAGAGCCTCATGAACACTATATTTGCAGCATTGTTACGTCGAGGTGTCTTGGTTTTCATGGACAATATACTCATTTACAGTACCACTTTGGAAGAGCATGTGAAGTTGTTGGCTGAGGTGTTTGCAATTCTAGAGAAACACCAATTCTACATCAAGAGATCTAAGTGTGTATTTGCCCAACCAGCTGTGGAGTATCTTGGTCATGTTATTTCAGCAGAAGGGGTGGCTACTGATCCCACAAAAGTACAAGCTGTGGTCAACTGGCAGACTCCAACAAATGTGAAACAGTTAAGGGGGTTCCTAGGATTAACAGGATATTACAAGAAGTTTATAGAGCATTATGGGATGATGGCTAGACCATTAATTGAATTATTGAAGAAAGGCTGTCAATTTCAGTGGACAGCACAGACTAACAGGGCATTTCAGTTACTCAAACAAAAGATGGTGCAAGCACCTGTTCTTGCGGTGCCTAACTTTGAGATTCCTTTTGTGCTGGAAACTGATGCAAGTGCCTATGGAATTGGAGCTGTGTTAATGCAAGCTAATCATCCGGTGGCATACTTGAGCAAACATCTGTGTACTAGAAGCCAAGCTCTGTCAGTATATGAGAAGGAGTGCTTAGCCATTCTGATGGCTATAGAAAAATGGAGACCATATTTGCAACACAAGAAATTTCTTATCAGAACTGATCATAAAAGCTTGCTGCACTTGACAGAGCAAAGGGTTACTTCAAAAATTCAGCATAAAGCTTTGGTCAAGCTCATGGACTTGGATTATCAAATCTAGTATAAGAAAGGGATCACCAACGCTGCTGCTGATGCTTTATCCAGATGTGTTGCTGGACAAGAGATAGTGGCTATTTCAGAGTGCATTCCATCTTGGGTGCAACAGCTCAAAGAAGGTTATGAGGAACATTTGGAAGATAAGAAGCTGTTGGCTGAATTAGCAATCTCTAAAAATAATCATAAGGGATTTGCCCTGACAGAGGGTGTTATCAGATACCAGGGTAGGATTTGGGTAGGCCACAATAAGTTAGCACAGCAGCACATCCTACAAGCCTTACATACTAGTGGGATTGGAGGTCATTCAGGCATTTCTACAACTTACAAGAGAGTTAAGGATCTATTTGCTTGGCCTAGTTTGAAGCAGTCAGTACAACAATTTGTTCAGCAGTGTCACATATGTCAGCAAGCAAAAGTGGAACACACCAAGGTTCCAAGCCTACTGCAACCACTTCTAGTGCCATCACAGGCGTGGGAGGTCATAAGCTTAGACTTTGTGGAAGGGTTGCCTACATCTAACAGGTACAATGCTATATTGGTGGTCATAGACAAATTCTCTAAATATGGTCACTTCATTACTATACATCATCCCTATACTGCTTTACACATTGCAAAGTTGTTCCTGGATAACATCTATAAATTGCATGGACTTCCTAGAGCTATCATTTCAGATAGAGATCCTATCTTTACCAGCACTCTATGGAGGGAGTTATTCGGATAGACAGACACTCAGTTGCTTATGAGCTCGGCTTACCATCCCCAGACTGATGGGCAAACCGAGCGGCTCAATCAATGTTTGGAAGGCTTTCTCAGGTGCACAATTCACTCTTGCCCAAAGCAGTGGAGCAAATGGCTATCAGTTGCTGAGTTCTGGTACAATACGAATTATCATTCAGCATTGGGGCAGTCACCATTTCAAGTATTGTATGGCCAGAGCCCGAGGCAGTTAGGCATCACCAATCTGAATCTAAGTGCTGTGCCAGAATTGGAGCAGTGGATGAAAGAAAGAGAATTGCTCAAAAGGATCATTCAGATGCAACTCCAACGAGCACATCAAAGAATGAAATCCCACGCAGATAACACACAGAAGTGAAAGGGAGTTCCAACCAGGAGATTTGGTGTATATGAAACTGCAGCCTTATGTGTAGTCATCAGTTGCGGCTAGGTCCAATAAGAAACTTTCATTTCGATTCTATGGACCTTACAAGGTGTTACAAAGAATAGGCAATGTGGCCTACAAGCTGGACCTTCCTGAAGGCAGTAGAGTGCATCCTGTACTACACGTATCCCAGCTAAAGAAGCATGTTCCAAAAGATCAGACTGTCTCGGAGGAGTTGACTTCAGTCAGTACAGACCCAATGTGTGTACAGCAACCAAAGAAGATTTTGTCCACCAGAGAAATCTTGCGCGGTGCAAGACGGGTGAAGCAGGTGTTGGTGAAGTGGAGTTTGATGCCTGAACATATGGCAACTTGGGAGGATGAAGCAGACATTGCCCCGGAGCAGGTTCAGGAGTCCACAAACTGAGGACAGTCTAAGTCTTAAGGAGGAGGGAATGTTATGACCGACAGGTGGACCCGTGATGCAGTGACTCCCTGTGATTGTGGCGTGG